CTCTCTCTCTCTCTCTCTCTCTCTCTCTCTATGCAGCCTGATTATATATATATGTAGGAAATTTATATACAAATCATACTAAATCACATCAAAATCCAGTGCCATTTGACGGTCCTGATTTGCCGACCCCGATCTGCTTCTCGTGCTCTGCTTTGGAAATTGGATCTAGATTCACGGCGGGTGGATCGTACCTTTTCTCGTAAGTCAATTCTTCCATTCCTCATTTATGTGGTTTCTTTGATTTTATTTCGTTTCTTTTTGTTTATGTTGTTTTATTGGCATTTTCGTTGATCTGAAGTTGATTGGAGCTTTGCATGTGTGTGCGTGTTTGTTTTAATAGTGTAGATCTGTGTGTTGAATGAATTGCATTGTTGTAAATTTTGATCCGTCGTTCTCCAATTCAGAAAATGACGGCTCAAACCGCTGTTAGTAAGGAGGTGTCGGAAGTGGTTGCTAAACCCCCTGTTGTTACTGAGGAGAGGGGTGAATTGTGCATGAGCTCTAATCAGGATCTGCCCAAGCCTGGTTGCAATGTGAATAACCAACAGGATCATGAGGGAGTAGACGACCACGATCACAACCATGATCCTGACAATTCCTATGTTTTTGTGAGTGGGGAGGATGGCCTCAGTAAAAATCTTCTTGATAACAAAGATTTTGTTGGGGAAAATTTGAGTGTTTTACCCAATTCAGAGGCTGTCGAGGTCCAACCCGTGCAATCAGACGCTCAAAGTAGGAAATTGGATATTGAAAATGGGGAAATTAGGGAATCGCTGGAGGAGGGGGGAATTGGTGTTGTGGAAGGGAACGGAAGGAGTACTCTTCTGGATAACAATGTAGAACAAGACCAAGGGAATTCCATTGGTGATGGGACTGAGATCCACGCTGTCACAATCCATGCTCTGGAGGAGCAAAATGAGAACAGTGAAAGCAGGGCAGATGCTGAAATAGAGGAGGATGAAGTTCAAACTGGAAAAACTGCAAGCACAGAAGAAGTTGAAATAGAGCAGGTTCAGGATCAAAACGGGCAAACTGGAGGCACAGCAGAAGCAGTAACAAGAAAAGTTGAGGATCAAACAGAATCAGAGGTGTCCCCTACTCCCATTGAGAATCAGGAATCTCATGTTTCGGTGGGGTCGGTGTCCCCTACTCCCATTGAGAATCAGGAATCTCATGTTTCGGTGGGGTCGGATGTGGGATTAGTAGAGATTGGAGAATTAAATAATTTGTCGTCAAGCGTAAATGTGTCTAGTGATTGCAGTGACAAGTGTGAGGATCATAATAATTCAAAGTCAGCTGAGGAGCCGGGATTAGGCCAGGAATCGCAAGATGTCATAAATGCTGTTAAATGTGAATCACGGGGGTTTGAGGTAAGCCCACAGGAGCAGATAGAGGTAAATTTGGCAGGGGAAGTTGCAGAAAATTTGGATTGTAAAGTCCCCGTCCCTAATTCTGCAAATTTGGATTCCGACAACCCAAGTATTAATGAGGAGAAGCTTGTTGGGGAGGTGAGCTCACAGGAGAATATAGAGGTGAAGTCTGAAGGAGAAATTGCGGAAACTTTGGAATGTAAAGTCCCTGTGACAACTTTCAGGCATTCGGATTCTGAGCACAGTGCAATTAATATTGAGGAGGAGAATACTAAAACGGAGTTGAATTCTGACGAAAAGGAAAATCATAAATGTGACACCTCATTTAGCAACAACAATCAAGATGTCATAGGGCAGGGGTACAAAGAAGAAGAAATGGTGGATAAGACCGACTTAAAATTGGAAACTGAAACTGTTAGTGGCCCGGTTTTAGAGGAAATTAAAGACGATTTACCAGTAGCTCATGTTCATCATCCTGAAGAACCTGATACCCACACTGATTGCAATGGAGAATCTTCTGCTGTTGTGAATTCTGAAACTGAGATTGACGTTACCCTACCAACTGACAGCTTTCCCACTTCAAGTTCTGAGGCTCGTGAGCCTCAAAAGGAAATTGAAATTTGTGATCCTAATAGCGTTGAAGATGTTTCTTTTTCGCCTGCTGATGGTCCAAAATCAGAAAGTAATGTTGAGAGTGGCCTAGTAGTCAAGGACAGCATGCGAAGCTGCAATAACTCAGAATCTGAATCTGCACTTGAAATAGTTGATTACGAAGAAGGGAAACCTACTTCCCTAGGTGATGATGTGCATGTTCAAACTGAAGTTTCAAGTGGGAATGCTAATTGTGCTCATAGCCCTTGTATTACTGCTGATGTGAAATTAGAATCGGAAGTTGAGAACTCTTCTATATTAAGCAGCAGAGACATGACTTCTGAGAGCGGTGTTGCACTAGTATCTGAGGTTTCAAATGGATCTACCGTTAATGGTGAAGATATGCTTAACATCTCCGTGGAGACGAAAGGTGTTGAAAACCCACTAGATGGACTGGCGGGTGCAGAGGGAAGAAGTAATGAGAACATGTTATTACAAGAAAGCAAGGACAATGAAAAATCTCAAATTAACCAAATTTCAACAGCTTCACCAGAGAGTTCTAGTGCTGATATGATCACTGGCAAGGACACAAGTGTTGAGGCTGTGACAAAGTCGTTCAACTTTCTGATTAGAATTCCAAGATTTAATGATGAAAAACTTAGAGAACAGATCATGAATGCTCAGCTACAAGTTGAGGAGAGGACGCAACTCAGGGATGCTATTCGAATTCAAATTCAGAAGAAAAGGGTACAATGCCGATCCATAATTTTTCTCATCTTTTGTGATCTCTAAAACTAAAACTATGTATGATGTTGCTTGGATTCACCTATTTACAGGCCAACTGTCAAACTCATGGTATTGAATATGAAGCTGCCAAGATAGAAGACAGGGCTGCGCGGAAGTTAGTGAGGTCAAAGCGCTTGGAAATAGATTCTCTTCAGTCTGTGATAAACAGAGCAAAGAATGCCACATCTATTGAGGATATTGATAGCAGGGTAGTTCTCTCTCCCCTCTTCCTCTCACTTTCTATGTGTATGTGAACTATTCAAGTACATGTGGTCCTCTTGCAATTTATTGGCCAGAATTATGTTTGTAAATTTGAAGTTGTTACTTTCTTACTCGATGTAAACTATGCCTTAATGCAGATACACAATATGGAACATGTGATGCAGCATGAAACCCTGCCTTTAAAGGAAGAAAAGCAATTCATTCGTGAAATCAAGCAACTGAAGCAGCTTCGTGAACAGTTGTCCTCTAACATGGGTAGCCAAGATGAAATCCAACAGGCTTTGGACCAGCGACAAGAAGTTGAGGAGCGCCTGAAGGTATGCATACCTGATTATTGCGTGCAAAGTCTAAAGACACATTCAGTAATTTGCTTGTAGAGCTATTTGTCTTGCAAATTCGATTGAATCAAAAAGAGGAGGAGAAAGATAGTGGCGTCATCTTGAATGGTGGGCATTCCGCCTGTGCTTGTGTCCAGTCTTTGTTTTTAAGTATGTTTGTATAGATTTACTAGAGTGGAAAAGTTGAACCCTGTGAAAGCCAGGGCAGTTTCATAGTCATCTGTCGAGTGCTGGTTTCAATTCCTAATATTGTATAAGTGAATGCAGGTTCTTAAAAAGGAGCTCGATAGCCTCAAAGGCAAGGTCTTAAAAGCCGAAGCAGCTGTTATGGCTGCAGGGAAAAATTACGAAGATGAAAATAAAAAGGTTAGGGAACTCCAAGATCAGTTCAGAGCTGCAGATGAAGTTCGCCAAGCAGCCTATGCTCAATTAGTGAGCCTGAAAAAAGATTTTTTTGACCAGGTCAGTTTTCATTGTCAGTATATGCCTACTTACTTTTCTTGAATAAAATAGCTCAAGATGTGCGAAAGTGGCCAATTAGCATTAAAATAGAAATTTAATGTAGCCTGAAGTCAGATGATGCCTTCCTCTAATAAGATGTATGTGAGACATTCCCTTTATTCATAACCTCTATGATTACTTCATGCCCCCAAAGGGGTCTGAGAAAACCGTACGTTCAATTAATGGTGATAGGGTCGAGAATCTAGAATTTCATTAGTCCTGTTAAAATTCTTTGTCATTTTTCCAGTAGTAATACTGTTCTCTATGGACTGATTGGGTAAGGCATGGAGTTGTTATAATTATGATCCCTCATTCTTAACCCATTTATGTTAGACATGCTTAAACAAGAATGCAGATGGTCACGTGCATGTACACCTATACAACTCCAAGGCACTCACATACACTGAATCACACACTAGACACAGCATTATGATCAGTATTGATGACCTAGATTGGTGGTCAAAATTTTGTTAGATTTATGACTGTTCATTGTCTGTTAAATGTTGGTCTGGATGGAGACTAAAGATGCTATTGTTGAACGGCATGTTGTTGAAGTTCCTTTGCAAGAATCAGGTTATATGTTGATTAAGTTGAAGACCCCTAAAGTTCATATAGACTGGTCAAGCCTTTGATAGTTTAAACCATGAGAGCTCTGTATTGCACCTATTGGTTCAAGTAACAGAACTTTTGTATTAGTTATATTTTATCCCCTTGTCATCGAGCTCTATAAATGCTTCACCCAGTGAAATAATTATTTGATGTGGTTTCAGTTTGGCATGGCTCTTCTAACATCAGTAGGATTAGCAAACCGCATTATACTATTGATCTTTTTTTAAGTTACTGATACCTAAAAGACACAACCTTACATGGTAATGTGGTAAAACATATTAAATTTGTAATGGAAAATGCTTATAAATACACATCGTATATAGAATACATGTTAAGAAAAGAAAAACGTCAGTTTAATTTGACTGAAACTTGAATGTGCAGAACAAACATTTCCGCATGTACAAGGATGCTGCTGCTGCAGCCAGTGATTACGCCTCTGGAAAAAATAGAGAAGCACTTACTCGTCATTGTGTAAATCAGGTTAGTGTTTTTCGTTTCCTACTGTCCTTTGATAGGAAAAGTCAAACACTGACTCTGTATGTGTCAATTGTTCAGGTGGAAAAAATTATGGAACTCTGGAACACGAATGATGACTTCCGCAAAGAGTATGTCAAATACAATGCAAGGAGTACTGTCAGGAGACTGGGAACATTTGATGGTCGTTCACTTGGCCCTGATGAGGAGCCACCAATTTTGCCAGGTTATGTTGATAGAAGAGTGGATAATTTGGTTTCAAGGCCAGCTCTGTCAGATTCAGTGTCAAAACATCCGATTCTGGAGCTAAAGCAAGAAACAGCCATTAAAAGTATATTAGTAGATGATAAATCTACAAAAGAAGTGGCAGAACCCAAGAATCGTGTAGTCAAAACTAAGGGACCGGCCAAATCTAAAACAATTAATAGTTTGGAAACTAAATCTGACAGGGAATTGACTGATGAGACAGAGGAGGAGGAGGAGCCTGTGAAATCAAAGGAGGAGTTGGAGCTGGAGAGGAAGGCAGAGGAAGTGAGAAAGCAGGAGGCTGAGGCCAAGTTAAGGGAGCAACGTCGGCTTGAGGAGATTGCCAAGGCTAAGGAGGCACTCGAGAGGAAGAAACGTAATGCGGAGAAGGCACAAATGAGAGCTAAATTGCGGGCACAGAAGGAAGCTGAACAAAGAGAAAAGGTGAATTTCTACCTTCCAAATCCACATTTAAATTTTTCATACATCAAAACTACAAAGATATCAAATGACGTATCTTAAATAATATGCTGACGCTATAGATTATGCTCCTGTTCCATGATTCTGTGCATGATTGAATATATTTTTGTACAGGAGAAAGAAAAGAGATTGAGAAAGAAGGAAAGAAAGGCTGCCGGAGCAGAAGGGAGTGAAAACAATGATTGTGAAACCGATCGCAGCTCTGAAAACCCAGTTGAAAATATCAAGGAGATTGATGTCAAGGAGAATGCAACTGGAGTAACCAAAAGGCCATCAAAACCTCAACATTTCCCAAAGTTAACCAAGACAAAATCTATCCCCCCTCCTCTTCGCAACAAAAACAGGAAAAAGTTCCAGCAGTGGATGTGGGTATTTCTTACGAGCTTGATTGTTGTACTTCTCTTCTGGCTTGGGAATTTAAGTTCCTTTACAAAGGTAAACCTTAGGCGGCAAGGCCCTGTTGTTTCCTAATTGTTTTTTTGGTCGTTAGCTTGGGAGACTTGGATTTGGAGGCTCGTTTTGACAACATACAGGATATTCTTTAGTTATCTCTCCGATTCTAGATTGCATTTTATTTCATTATCTTTGGTTTTTCAGTTTATACAGTTAATAGAACGGTTGTGTTCTATTTTACATGACTAGGAAGAATGGAACATATTCAAAGGAAGTGCTATTTGTGAAGTACTTTATTTATATTATACAGAAATTCGTCTGCGGGCATTTTTTTTTTTTTTTTAATGTAAGCTTAAATTTAGCTTCTGGTCATAAATGGAAAGGGAACCCATAGAAGAACCTTGGGAATGTATAGTGGCAATATGCACTCCTAGAGAAGGAATATATGTGCAGATAAGCCGGACTTATCCCAATTCAAGATGACGTAGGACAAGATATTTTGCCATTCCTGTTCCGACTTATCCCACTTCAAGATGATGTAGGACGAGATATTTTGCCATTCCTATTCCGACTTATCCCACTTCAAGTTTAGTCCACTTATAAATGTTTACCATCGAAACATCTTTCTTATTCTTCAAGTGTCAATCACTCTACTATGGGTCAATGAATCATCGAAAAATATTTGTATTTGAAATGTATTCACTTTCATGAAACACTAAAATACGGAAATATTTAACATATTCTTTATTCTTCAAATGTGAATCACCCACCTCTTCTCGTCTTTGCCCTGCTCGTTCGATTCGATTGCATGCATTCCCTCATTTGAAATGTATTTCACTTTTCATGTAAGGAAATAGATAGAATATTCTTCACTTATTCTTCTTCTTCTTCTTCTT